CACGAATGGGACAGAAGTACCCAAGCAAACGACTTTTGTACAATTCTCCCTCTGGTTATCCAGCTATGTATTGTCCAGACATAGAATAGACCACCTCTTTTTTCCGCTACTAACAGAATTCAATGATCAAGAGATGGACTGCAGCGTTTCACTTAAAATATCACTAAAGACTAAATGTGGTTGTCAATCCGCCTGCCATGGCAACTACTAGCAAAACTCCCCTTTATGGGGAAGCCGTATTTTCGACAAATTACAAAACAAATTATAACAAGAATGCAAAAGAAAGTAAGTATCTATAAATATGTGCATTTTTATCTTCTTACTAGTTGACCCGATAGACAATGTTTTGTCCAAATTTAAATTTTTCTCCTGGAATTCCAAATAGGTCATTTGAGAGTCAGCCAAATCGGTCCACCTCTACTAAAGTGACACACAACGAACAACGTCTAATTTCTATGTACATATTTTATTTTAATAAAGTAAACATATACGTGGATGCATAAAAGCGTGAGCACAACTTTACCTACTAGTAGATCCTTACCTAAAAAATATCCATATTTTTGTATTTCAAAAACAAAATAAATACGTGTTCAACACAGGAATAAACCCTATCGATTAGGTGTAAAAATATATTAAAAATCTATTCATAATTCGCGTAGGTTCACAAAAAAGGGGAATTGTGATATTTTATTTTTATTGAGATATTTATTGACCAAAAGAAAACATGGTACAAAAGATAGACTTAATGCTAGTAGCATACTTTACAAGTCAATCTTTGGGATGAACAGTGAATTACGAACATGGTACTTCATTATTGGAATGGGTAAAGATAACATAAAAGCTAATAATGTATACACAATACACAATAAATATGTAATATATACATAAATAATATAAAGATACACATACTTAATTAAAATGAAGGAATATATGTACAACTACATAAATATATAAAATATAAATAATATATAAATAAATAAAATATAAAAATTGTGACTAGCTACTATTGTTGTAATGAGTTCATAAGATGAGCATGGACTTTTTTAACAAGGATGTATTTGGAATCTTGTTCAATTTCGTTCTTAGACAATTGTGACATTGAATTTTTTTAATAGGTGAAAATGGAATGGTATCCCTGCTTGCACTATTGGAATTCGCTGGCGGACACCAGTGAGAGATGACAAGTCACGATGAAAGCAGATCAGTTAACCTGTTGTAATAAATTGAATAAAAATTAAATACAATTGTTTTAATTGTTAACGGAAACGAGTGGAGGTCTACCTGATAGGGTATATTGCTAACAATGGGGTTATTAGGCATATTACTATTACTACACCTATAATTACTATTATAGGTGGGAAGCTAATAATCCCCACCCTCTAAAATTGACGTTTAGTATATATCTATTTACTTCATAAAAAAATGAAATGTTATATTAAGTGTCGAAGGATATTTTAGATCTACCTTTTAATAAGTTTAAAACTGTTAATAGAAACATTTATTGAACAAAGCTTATTACCTACACATTAAATAATTACTTGAATGACAAATGTACATGGTGTTAATGGATCACGCATGACCATGTAATTTTAGACATAGTACATTTAAATAAATATACATAATGCTAACAGAGATTTAAAAGAGTAACTATTGAGTTTCTTGCGGGCTCTTCTTAGCAGATAACAACTTTCCGAAACGTGCAGTAGATTTAAAAAAAAAAAACAATTTAAAACTGCTTGTAAAGAAGTCTATTTTAATAAAGATGATTTGAATTTGAATTCGGGATAATACAAATAGCTATACTAAATAATAAGGTACTATTTATTTACCTACCTACTTACAAGAAATTGTTTCGACTCGTTGATCGATCAACTATCAGTCTGATTATTGAACCATTGAGAAATCGATACAGATTGAACGGCCTCAATAAATAATACTGCACGCATCGAGAGGTCAACTGGGTGTGGCTACAAAGACGAGCTACGCCGGTGTTCGTGGGAGGTAATCACCGCGTCGTTTGATGACACGTAAACTCGTTTTTGTACATAATTGATACCGCAATACATAAATGGTAGATTAATAAATATATTTTTTTATATAATGTCGGTTTAAGAGATTACTCAAAATTGATTATCATCTCCATATATTTCTGTTTCATCTTTGCCGAATTTGTATAAATTTAATAGATCTATAAATTGGTATTATTAGTAAACTGATGAAGGCTGATTTAATGTTTGTAAAGTTCTAGTGAAGTCCAGATTTTTTAATTTTTTTAAAATATATTTACATACATACCATATGTTACTACTTAATATAACATAGGTACCTAATGTTATTACTTATATGTTTATTTGACCAGCCGGGTTTCTATATTCTTTTTCTTTTTTTTTGTACTTTTATATTTGTTTTTTTTTTTTTTATGTTATGTTTGATATATTTTTTGACACTTTTCCTCCATTAATTTTAAAACACAAAGTATAAGTTTATAAGTAATTTTTTTTTTTAAATATTGTATCGGCTACTGCTGAACATTGATTGTCTTGAAAAGATTGCTCTCAGCAATAAGATCGCCTTATTGTATTTATACAACTGTATTACTGTACTTATACAATTGTATCGTTGTGTTTGTTAATTGTCTCGTTTATTCCCTATATTTTATAATGCAAATAAAGTATTCATTCAATCATTCATAAGCTTCTTCTATAAGAAGTATTTTACCAGAAGTTGTTACGCTTGGTAGACGAGTTAGCAACTGCATTTAGGCTTTTTTTGATGGGTGAAAATGGAATGGTAACCGCGTCTGCGCTAACGGGATACGCTGGCGGAGCACCAGTGAAGGGTGATAGATGAGAATGAAAACAGGCCAGTTAGCCCATCATGGTGAATTCCTCAGGAATTAATTATGATATACAGTATACTAGCATAGTAACACTAGGCAATTTTGAAGAAAAAGAGGTTGTTAGAGATGGAGTATTATTAACCCATTGCTGACAATCAATGCCTATCAAGTCGATTTCCATGCGGTTCTTTTTTTTTATATACAATTTAGAATGGCAAACAAGCTGACGGCCCACCTGATGGAAAGTGGTAACCGTCGCCTATAGACATGAGCAGTACCATGCACATAACAGAGTATACTGTTTCGCTCATGATACCCCCCATGCGTTGCCATTCCTGAGGACTCAGATTTTATTCCTCTGTACCCAGTAAATTCACGCCATATCCCACCCTTCAAACCGAAACACAGCCATGCAAACACAACTGCTTCACAGTTAAAACACGAATGGGACAGAGGTACCCAAGCAGTCGATCTTTGTATAAAGTCTCCCTCTGGTAAATTTAACAATTATTATTAATTCTCCCCTGGGAATTGATAATAATTGTTGAATTTGTCACAAAGAGCCAATTGATCTGTTTCATCCTCACCTATCAGCTTTCACTGGTGCCCTGTCAATTTATACCTACCAATAGTGCAGGCACTACCATTTTAAGGCCAGTATTCCTGCTTCTTCAACAGAAGTTACAGGCGTTATTAGAAATGTACCTACAAATATATCTAATAAAAAAATATATACTATGATATCGAGTTCTAAGAAAATTATTGCTATTAAAAGAATTTTAAGAAAAAATACCTTGACTCATGGATATGTGTTACAGCCAACTCTAACCGTGACAATTACTTTTGCTGCATCTGTATTACCTGAATATCTGGATATTGGAGGTTGGCGCCACAATGTCGACCTGAGCGTTGCAGCATCTGCAAAGGTGAGCATAATTATAAAACTTGTACAACTGGAATGGAAAACGCTATTGTGTGTACACTGCAATTTTATTACCTGCTTCTTTTGGAGATATCTGAAATATTTCCTAAACTGGGTAACAAACCTAAAAAAAATGTAGACCTAATTTCAATTCTCACACTAAAAGTGTTTTGAAAATATGATATGGTAATAGACCTATTTCACAAAATTCAATCAATTAACTATCATACAGTGAAAAAAACTACAATTGGCTAATTGACCAGACAGGAGGGAAGGGATTGTTAGTAATGGGAAGGTTAGTCCCTATTGCTATCAATATATTCTATCGGGCCGACCTCCATGCGGATTCCCCTGAAAATTATCGTGATAAATTTATCGTTGAATTAGTCACAATGGTCTAACTGACCTGCGTTTACATCCTCACTAATCATTGGTGCACCGCCAGTGTATACCGATAGCGCAGGCAGGATTACCATTTCATTATCATCCATTAAAAAAAAAATTGATTAGACATCATGCTTACCTACCATCCCTACTAGCGTATACCGACAGCAACGGCTATCTATTTTCATCCATAAAAATGTTCTATCTTTTTTTAGATGTCGTAGGAGCTTCTTTGCAAACTATAGTAAGTTTAACAGTTAATAAAAAAAGAAACAATTCTGGTTACGCCACAGCGTCCCATATATATTTCTCTACTTGTGGATATAAGTCTAAGTTACCAAATTTTCATCAAATCTTTCGTTTGATAAACGGCGCCATTTGCAATTCAGTGGTGAAAGACAGAACTAAATTATAATTCTAATTTTAATTTCTAAATTGCTCCATAGAGGCAGCACTAAAGGTCTCTCGCTAATCTCTTTTTTCCTACAGATAATACAAAATGAAGATCGATAGTAAATAACATGCAGTTTCAGTTCCCATAATAGTTTTTTTAGGGAATTATTTCCTTGAATAATAAATAAAATTTCACAGTTATTGTTATAATGGTAATAATATCAAGGCTGGTTAATTTAGTAGTGGCAACACCGAATTAAAATGTCAAAATAAAATAGCTTGAATTTCTTTTTAGACTGAAAAAAATCGAAAATTGTCTTGAATCAATTACGTGAAGTAGTTACAATGCTTTTGGGTGTTTGTATTTAAATCTTTTCTACATCACATAAATTAGTTGTTTTTTTGATTGCTTTCTGAATTTGTCATGCTTTGAATAAAACATTATGTTTCGAACTTACCCATGTTCTGAAAACTGTGGAAATGATGCTATTTGGCCGATAATTCTCCATATTAATATGAATTTGATCACAACGTCTTGACAATTCGAAACTAAACAGAAAAAAAAACAAAGCTAATATTTTGGTGTTATTAAAATATTGTGCTTCAAAATGTTTTCTAAATCGCAGACAAGCAAAGATACTTTCTTGGAACAGACAAAGGCAGCCCGAGAGGAACGGGCGTTAGAAAAAAAACGGGAACAATCGGCAGTGAAAATACAAGCGCTTGTTAGAGGCTGGCTCGCTCGACATAGATTCATTAAACGTATATTGTGTGTATTCTATATATATCTATATATATGTTTTATACTAACAGTAACTTGTGGTTTTGCCTTCCTTAATTATGTTGTAAAATTAATTCTATGTGTTAATTTAAGGCATAATCCAACTCTAAACCAAATTTCATTAAAATCCATATAACTATTTTTAATAACAAATATTAATTTACCTAAATCCTCACACAACTCTATGCCGAACTTGGTGGTGCACTGGTTTAACACATTTCCTTTTTTATCAATGGTTGTGGGTTTATGTCTTGTATAATATAAACATTTGTAATAACTATAAGTTTGTTTATTCTGCTGTGTGGTCTTTACATAGAATAGACCACCCCTTTCTTTTCTGTAGGTGTCATAAAAGATGACTAAGGGAACTTATTGTTAAGAAATAAGCAGCAGGGTCCCTCTTAAAACATTACAAAAGCTTAACTGTGGTTGCCAACCCGTCTGCCAAGCATGGGTACTACTAACAAAACCCCTATGGGCCCCTATGGCCTATGTTGAGTAGTAAACAATTAACGGCTGATATCATCATTATCTACATATGTTTGTTTATATCAGTCTCCTTAATTTCTGTGTTTAATATTTATATACAAAAAGATATAAACATTTCCATCAATTGTCTAGTTTCTTGTACTATAATACAAATTCTGCTTAGTTTGGGGCTAGAATTACCAATGAATTAATTATATTGTTTGTATTTGTTTATTTTCGCATTCTCTAGTTCTTCACACACACACTATTAACTTAGGGTGCAGTCTATTGATGTGTAGTGTGGCATTTTAAGTTAAAATTTAAATAGTATTATTTTAATTATCACAATTGTTATATTCTTGTTCTTCATATCTATCTATTAAGTGAGCTATAAAATTGGTTTGTATTTTTTAAGAAAATTTCTTAATAAACCAGCAGAAGAAGTGTAAACAGACCAGTGTATTTTTTTATGTAACACAGAAAGGCATTGACTAAATTATACCAAATGTTGTTACTTTTTTTGTTGTTTTTATAAATATATTTTTATTTTTGATTTAAATATAACTTTAAATATGTAATTTGTATTTTTTAGAAATGATTTCGATCAACTACTCCCTGATGCTGCATCTCACAGTAATCAAGAAGAGTCAACACAACAATTTGAACTATTCCCAGCACTAGATGTGTACAGAGTGACATGTCGCTTTTTCCTCATATTTAAACAGCAACGAGACAGGAAACGGTTTGAGAAACTCTGCAAATATATTGTACAGAGTTTACACTCAGAGTCAGTGAAATTGTCTTATGTTGGAGTGTTTTTAAACAAAGAGTACAGGTATGAATAATATATTCAATTAATTTCAATTTAATTTATTTATTTGCAACAATACTACATTGTGTTGAATACGAGGTTTGTCCGGAAAGTACGTATAAAAGTTTTTTAAAAATTTTATTTTACAATTATTCAGGTAAATCAATTTTATCCCCTTCAAAGTACTCCCCCTGTGACATAATGCACTTGTGCCAACGCCGTTTCCACTGTGAGAAGGCTCCTTGAAAGTCCTCTGGTTGTAGGTTTCTCAGCTGCCCCGTCGTAGCTTTTTTTATCTCATTTATGTCCCCCAAATGCCGCCCCCGAAGTACCAATTTGGTTTTTGGGAACAAGAAGAAGTCACACGGGGCCAAATCCGGCGAATAGGGGGGTGTTCGGTCACCGTAATGGAATTTTTACTCAAAAACTCACGGACAACAAGAGAGGTGTGGGCAGGGGCATTGTCGTGGTGAAGAATCCAACGCCCCTCTCGCGCCAATTCTGGACGAACTCGTGCCACACGAGCTTTGAGGCGTCTGAGCACATCGACGTAGAATTTTCCATCAACTGTCTGGCCTGGAGGGACGAATTCTTGATGGACAATCCCCCGAACATCGAAAAAAACAATCAACATTGTCTTGACATTTGAGCGGGATTTTCTTGATTTTTTTGTTCGTGGTTCCCCGGATGTCTTCCACTCTTTGCTTTCACGGCCATTCTTGCCGAGTTTCGAGAGAAACTTGATTACGACGCGCTGCTCTTCAACGGAAGCGGGCTCCATGCCGACGGGGTTTCGTTAAGAGGTAACTTCACAGATGGCGTGACAAGCCAGTTCGCACCGCACGGCGGTCAGACCAGAACTGAAGCATTGTTAGGGACATAAGGAAGAGGTCCTGCGCTTACCTGGCCTCCCCACTCCTCTTTCTCGCATTCCAGAACACTTTTATACGAACTTTCCGGACAGACCTCGTATTTTTATAAGTAACAAGAAGATATCATAAAATACAACAATACAAAAAACCAAATTTTTCTAATATTATTTCAGTATTAGTTGGATTTCACATATAAAAGATCTCCTATATAAATGCTGCCAATACCTCGAAGAGCTGAAACCAGAGTCCCCAGTTGACATGCAAAGCATCCTCATTCATCTTCACACATTGGTAGCATTCACTGCTACCAACACATGGGCCTTGACTAGACTCAAAAACTTGGAGAAATTGAGGGGAGGCATGACCCAGCTGTGTGCCAATGTCATGGGCTCACTATTCCATAAAGGATATTACTTAACTTTGAAGGTACGCTACATAAACGTAAGGCTGATTGCAGATGGCGTACTTTATACATGCAGATGAAGTGTGTTTCATGAACACCTGTTTACTGTGTTAGTAAGGCCCAAAGTATCAGTTCAAACACTTTTGCTGTGTCTGAATTTAGCTTGAGTTCAATAACGCGTGTATAAAATATGTTATTTGTGTAGACACTAATGTTTTCTATTTATATGTTACAGTAGCTAATCATTAATCAAAAGTTTTTGTTACCTTATGATTGTTATTTTAAAGTTGGCACATGTATGTTTTTTTGTCTATTTCTGTTTGTCATTCTAGTGATATTACCTATATTAGCTGACAGTCTATTGTTTCATTATTTTATTTTAATATGTACTTAGTTAATATTGACTCTACTTGCGACTTATTCAAATGACAAATATAAAAAGTAGTCCATATCTTTCTCAATTCCGAGTAATCTTTTAAATGTCGAATTTCATTCTATTTTAATGAATATTGCCATAAATTAAAAATTGCTATATATTTTAAGTCCGTATTAATTAATGACAATAACATCTGTTGACATTTATATTTATGATTTATAAGAAACATGTTTAATTAAACATGTTCATTTAAGTAGACTACGATACGAGTAATTTAACTGGGTTATGTTGACGTTTCGACCAGCAGGTCTACTCTTGAATCTAATATCAATTCAATCTACTGCCAATGACAATTTTATACTGCACTCATGAAACAACAATTAGGGCTTAAGTTATAATTGGGATCAGTTTTCAATAGTTTGCATTGGCGAGTTACTATAATATGCATCTTTCAGAACAATATGGAACCATTATGTCACCAGTATTGCAATTCGAAAGTACGAAACATTTCGATTTCAATGTTCATTTATTAGAATTTATTTCATGAGTAACCCCACTGGTCGAAACCAGAATTTCTGTCTCGTGCAATCGTAAACCATGCAATGCTAAAGTCTCAAAGTCAATATTGCATATTTATATTATTTTTAATAACAATTTAAATATTTGTTTTCAGTCCTTGTTGCTTCGGGGGCTCTGTCGCGAGAAGGTGTGTCTCAAAAACATAGCGTTGACCGCCATAGTGACTTTGTCGCTGCGGCCACTAGTTTCTGCACAGTTTTCAGAAAAACTTCTCACAATGTACATAATACAGATACTGTCGGTTCCCACATTAGTGTTCCATATGCATCAGATATCGCATGAGGTGAGTACAAAAGGTATTTATATTATGTGTAGAATGCCTTTATTAATATTGTAAAGAGAAATTATTTTTATATGTTTATTTGTTTGTAATGGCAAACAAGCATACAGCTATTTACCCATTAAAAGCTGGGGTGAGTCATTAGTTCTTGTAAATGGACAACAGGAATTTATTAACCACTGTTTGCCACTTCCAACAATTATTTGTACTTAATCTATAAAAAAAAAACAAGCATAAAAAACACCTTAGTTCTCTCATGGAGGCAAAACGGTATACTTTGTTATATGTCTATAGGTGACGGTTACTACTTTCATCAGATGGGCCGTCAGCTTTTTTGTTATTCTAAGTTGCATTGTATGGTCACAATAAAAGCTTTAAGTTATATATTATACTACTAAAGAAAGCCACCATTAAATGACCCTCTGGATAACACCATAAAATTCAATAATAATAAACTCTTTATTGCGCACAATAGAGATGTACAAGGAGTAATTATACAGAATGTGCATATACAAAAGGCGGCCTTATAGCTAAAAGCAATCTCTTACAGACAACCTGGCAATAATGGGTGATTTTACGAAGTGAAACATTTCTTAGTTACGTAGTAAATAAAATAAATTTCTTTTAATTTTCGTAGTCTGTAACTGCGTTCCGCTCATACTCGATGTTCGACAAGTGCCTCGAGTTCCTGAGTACGGACCAGAACATGCGTATTGTGTTCAATACTTTGGAAGGCAATTACGCTCTCTGTCTCCTCGGCAATCTAATACAACTGGCGCACTCCGAGAGGGAGCATGCCATGCCAGAGTCCTACTATCCTACGTTTGTGGTAAGTACTGCATATATTTATTTATATATTTATATTATAATACTAAGTCATATATAGGTAACGTAACCTTCAAGAAAAGAGCATATTCCTTTTTAAAAGGCCGGCAGCACATCTACAATGCCGTTGGTGTTGTAGGTGATAATGGGCGGCGGTAGTCACTTACCATCAGGCGAGCCGCATGCTCGTTTGCCCCCCTGTGTTGTAAAAAAAAGTCCCTGCATAGAATAGGCCACCCTTTCCTTTCCCCTGGGTGTAAGAGGCGACTAACGCAGCTTATGGTGGGATGGGCAGCATCTTAAAACATCACTAAAAACCAAACTGCTGTTGCCAATCCGCTTACCAAGCGTGGCAACTACTGGCCAAATCCTCCTTATGGGGGAGACTATGTTCAGCAGTGGACAGTTAATGGCTGATACAACTAAGTCGTATGGTCTTATTGAATAAACTTTAATAGTATTTCAGTTAATAGATAAAAAGTCATTGCTTGATGAGTATTGTTTTTTATTTACTTCCGCTATCATTAATATGTAACTAATATTTGGCGTGGAAGATTCACTACCATTATTAGTGGTAAAATAAGAATAGAATAATAATAATAATAGTCACCAGATGGAGACTTTGTACAAAAGTCGATTGCTGGGTACCTCTGTCCTATTCGTGTTTCAACCGTGAAGCAGATGTGTTTGCATGGCTGTGTTTCGGTTTGAAGGGTGGGATATGGCGTGAATTTACAGGGTTCAGAGGAATAACATCTAAATCCTCAGGAATGGCAACGCATGGGGGGCATCATGAGCGAAACAGTATACTCTGTTATGTCCATGGTACTGCTCATGTCTATAGGCGACGGTTACCACTTTCCATCAGGTGGGCCGTCAGCTAATCCTTAATATCTCACTATTATATTATTTACATGTATCCATTTTACGAAACATGTTTCGCACTAAACAAAGAATTTTTATCTTGTCTATTAAAATGATATTAATAATATGTCCTGTGATTCGGAATTACGTAAAATAACATGTAATAACATATAGATAGAATATCAATTGTTAAAACAGCAAGTCTTTATCATATACCTTATTTTCGTTCAACAGTTGGTAGTAACGCGTTTCCTGGACTCGTGTCAGCAGTATGTAGTGTGCAAAAAGGGCAACCTCAGTAACTGGCATCCCGTCCTCGGGTGGTTCTCGCAAGGCTTCGACGTATACCTACCACCCACTATGGGTAACCTTCGGACTCAGTTGTCGCTGTTGTGGGGCGCGTCTCTACTTAAGAAATTGCTGGCGATGCCGCTGAAGGAGATGGTGAACGCGGGCGTGACGGGCGAGGAGGGGGCAGGACCTTCTCAGCCCTCCACGCCTGTGCAAAGTAACAATCCTGCCGCTATTATAAGAAGAGCTATAGAGGCTAGAACGAATAGGTAATGTTGAAATTTTAAATTGTCTTAATAAAGTAATTTGGATTAACTGCAGGTCGGTTTTGGGATAACTGATAATGCCTAACTTCTTATAAAAACGGACTAATGGTTGGGTTACTTATTAAGGGATATAAATTTCAATTTGCAAAATTTTTAACATTTATTATATAAGTAGGTAGGTATTATATGTATTTATAGTGTATGTATTTATGTAGTATTTTATTATATATTTTATTTTATTTAACTGTATATTTGTTTATGTATTAATAGTTGTAGCACTTTAGCTGCTCGCTAACGAAATGCTTTCTTACTGTACTGGGTTGACTGGAAGAGATCTCGGTCAAAAATAAGTCCACCCTTGCTCACAATATTTATAAATACATTATTTTATATGTAACTTACAAGTGCAATAAAGAATATATATTTTTATAAGTTTTGCGGGTACAGAATACAGGAATGCGTAGCAGCGTCCCTCTTAAAATATCACCAAAGTCTAACTGCAGTTCCCAACCCGCCTACCAAATTTCTCAACTACTAGAGAGACTATCCTTATGGGAAAAGCCCATAAATGTTCAGCAGTGGACATTTAATGATTAATATGATGATGATGATGTGTATACAGTAAGACTTGTTTTCGAACTGCTAGATTTGTAATATTTTTAAAATCTGTGAAGTCTGAAAGTCATTTATTTGATGGAACAATAATTAATTGCGATGTGTATTATCTTAGAAAATTTAAATATACATCTGATAAAACGAATGACCAATTGCTAGGCTAAGTGTGGAGATTATTACATTATCTATGGCAATATATGGGAAAAATTTATGTTCAGCAAATGAATAGTAGATTTTTGTAATAATATTGATATAATTTTCTTACATTATACACGATGTTTTCTGTCCACAGAGCAAATTCCCATAAGAATTATAGAAAATTCGGTTCTCCGGATTGTACCAAAGCTGCGTTGATTTGTTCTATGTACCAGACTGCGCTGCAGACTATGAAACAAGTCAAACTAGATATACTCACAGGTAATTATACTTGTGACCAATTTTGCGTTGTCATTGTTAATAGTCTAGATCGAAATAAAAGTATACTGCATGTTAGTCCAGAACACAATTATTTTTCTAGCAAATAAAGAAAGTTTTGAAAGAAGCTTTATACCAAGCTACCTAGCCAGCATAGTAGATAAATAGATAAATAATTTATTTGCATTACTTACAGCACACAAAGCGAGATAACATAAATGATTAAAAAAAAATACATAAAGCCGAGTAGAATATTTCTATTGTGCGTGTACCATAACAATACAAAATGGTCACAACTCAGTTTATTGCTTCGCCCTTGAAAGAGCAAAGCACTGATATTCTGTTGCGGCCAAATGAAATAGGGTAACAATAAAACAATACTACTCTACTAATAATCGTAAACTAGTGACTTATGAATGGGGAGATCTTGCCCAGGGCTAGAATAATAATAATAAATACCGTTACACATGCAAGACAACTGACAAAAATATTTAAAAACTATAATTTCGTAAATACATACATATTATATATAGAAAACATTCAGACCAATACAAACAATTATAAATACAAATGTTTTTATTGTGCGGAAATTGAACCCGCGACCATTGGAAGATACGGCGGTAATCCGCTACATCACGACGATTGTCAAAGAATGTTAATATGTAATTTGTTTGTTTACCTAATAATCACAAATCAGAATAATAACGTGTACTTTCTGTAATATTAATATATTTTTAATAATCTTGACATTATTTTTGCAGGTCTGTGCAACCAAGACGAAATACTTTATTCTCTATGGCAGTTCCTCTGCACATTGGGACCAAACTGTGGACTGAAGGCATTCCTTGATCTCTTAGCTGTAAACACCAAAACATCAGCACCCGAGTTCCAAATGTTGATACTGTTTGCTGATTGTATGACCCATTATGTTACGTAAGTATCTTCCGGTATTTATAGTTTTTTCTTAGCATTATCATCATCATATCAGCCTTTAACTGCCCACTGCTGAACATAAGCCTCCCCCTTGGGGGGGTTTTGCCAGTAGTTGCTATGCTTGGCAGGCGGATTGTCATCCACAGTCAGGCTTTAGAGATGTTATAAAGGGGAAGTTGCTGCCCATTCCTCGCCCTCCCTTAGTCGCCTTTTACGACACCCACGGTAAAGGAAGGGGTGGTATTCTATGCCGGGACCACATGGTTTCTTAGCATGATATGGCACAATTCGATTTTATCGTCACAGTATAATAGAAAAACAAAATAATGAAAATACATTTAATTCTAGAGAGTTTATATTAACAATTCTATATTAAATTTTAAGTCCAGTTTTACCAATTTGTTTGCAGTATACTTGATGACATGGAAATGTATGAGCAACAAGATCCTTTCAAATTGCAAGACTTTATTAACATGTCACAATTTTTAAATATGTTTGTCTACAAATCAATAATGGGACAGTTATTCGGTGAGTACATTTGAAATAATTATCTATTTAAATTAGTGTAAAAATCTTATATGATAAATACATGATATGTCGTTTGATGTTTTTAAAAACTACTATTTAAATATTGATAAAATGAATATGAGAGTACTAATTTAATTAAAAATCAGTTTAAATTTGAAGATGATATCACATAACATACGATTTTTAAGAAAAATACTGTCGAATTGTGAAATATTTGTATAATAGTTTAAATATTTACATGTAAATATTGAATAAAATATAATGTATTATATAAAATATAACATATCTGAATACAACCCTAGATGTGATATATATTTTGTGCATGTTTACATTAGTCTAATTGTACGTTTATAATATATGGATATATTAGGTATTACTTTGTTTCCTCAATTCATGAATGCACCGCCTACCTATTTCTGTTTGCCAAATTTACACATTTACACTGTTCATTAAAACTTAAATAAATACGACATTAAAATATTATATTGAAAATGGAGGGCATTTAATTTTATATTATATTACTTATTAATATATAAAAAACTTATTAAAATATAAACTTCTTTATTTATAGAAACTAAAATTCTCTACAAATCTAATTATTATACCTAATTATTTTGTTTCTGTCCATGAAGCAGTTGGGTGTGCATGGCTGTGTTTCAGTTAGAAGGGTGGAATATGGCAGTGAATTTACTGAGTACAGAGTGATAACACCTTAGTCCTCAAGAATGGTAACGCATGAGGTATCATAGGTATCATATAACAGTATACTCTGTTATATGCATGATACTGCTCATGTCCATAAGCGACGGTTACCACTTTCTATCAGGAGAGCCGACAGCTTGTTTGCCATTCTAAGATGCAATAAAAAACACTTTTTTTTTTTATCATTTCCTTTCAAATTGGTAATTTAATTCAAAATAAAAGGATATAACAGTTCAATAGCTATAATAGGTTTATAAGAGGTTTGATATTTTTAAGTGTAAAGGGACAAAATACAGAAAGAATTTGCCTCCAAAAAAAGTTACATTGTTAATTTTTTCGAAGCTATCTATTGTCAAGCATTTTTGCCTTGTTACTAGCAAATAAATAGCATACCTCTATTGTTAAGTACAATGTCGTTTCTACAAAAATAAAACTGAAAGATACGCTATACTCATTTACACTGCCTTTAAAATTATTTAAAAAAATACTCAAATTTTTCCTTAAAGTCCCACACAATAATACCAATCCATTCAATCTGGGGTACCCTGAGTTATGGGCGACCAGGCACCCATTCAGAAAAGTTCATTTCCTAATTAGCCCGACCGAGAATTGAAGCCAAGACTTTATTTATTTATTTGTAACAGGAAACCCAAACCTTATTTCTATAAAAAAAATAACTACAAGGTAACAACAATAAAGCCACCTATAAAATATAAATAAGTGGACAGTATTTGCCTCAGAGATATAACCCAAAAACTGTAAGACTATTTACCTTAGTACAAAATACAGTGAACACTTCCAAGCTCATATAAAACAAATGTGCTCAGCATTAAATGGATAATTCCAAGTTAAAAAATTGCCTACTCGCTATCATATTTCTCGATACGGATATTTTATTGTGAAATATATCAATGTTTAATTGTCTACTTAATTCATTGCTCGCCACACATAACTGTTTTTGTCTATATTTTTTTTTATATTTTATATATATATATATATATATATATATATATATATATATATATATATATATATATATATATATTGTTAAAACGACGGGAATAGATAATAGAGGGGTAAATCTGGTCAGTTTAAATGGCGCATTGTAATTAAGTTTAGTAAATCGTAAGTAAATCAGGATAATTCTTTATCTATGCATAGTATAGTAACATGTTCACAACTGCACCATTGAGGCGTTGAGGCGGTCGTTAAAATTGCCTAACCTGCTTGTCAGACCTGAAGAGCATCCAGAGCAACGAGGTGTTCAACTCGGTGCACACGCTGCTGCTGGTGCTGTACCGACGCGACTGCCGCCGTCAGTACTCGCCGCCGAACCACTGGCTCGTGCGCGACATACGCGACGGACAGTTCATGGCAGACCTCGAGAAGGGCAAGAAGCCACAGCAGGTGACCACTTATTATCGTTATCATTGATAGCCTCTTGTGTCCCACTGCTGGGCAAAGGCACCTCCTAAATGTTTCTATCTTCGGTCCTTGCTTACTTTTGTATATGTACACATTTAATTTTGTAAATGTGCATTGTTAACTTCATCTTAAAACAAAAAGATGGAATTTAATTCGAAATCACAGCTTATTTCAACTTGAAATCTACAAGTGTTTATGTTAATAATATATATATGTACTCTGTTATGTCCATAGTATTATTCATTTCTATAGGCCCTTCGCCTATAGAAATGAATAATACTATGGACTACTACTTTCCATCAAGTGGGCCGCCAACTTTTTTGCTATTGTAAGTAGCATAAAAGAAGATGGGCCTGGTATAGCGGTAGTGGGCAATAAACGCTTAGGCATCCGTTTAATATACCATTCAATACAATTTATTTTTATATTTATTATTATTTCTCACCACAAACAATTAAGGACTTACTATCTATGACTTGCAGAATATTTTAACAATATTATATTATAACTAGCTGACCCCGTTATCGTTGTTTTACCACTTATTGCGAAATATAAAAATCGCGATTAAAAGATAGGGGTTGATCGTAAAACGATGAAAATTTAAAGTTGTGTATATTTTTCAATGCTTAATCAGAATAAAATAAAAATGAAAAAAAAATTGTTAAAAAAATAAAAAGAAAAATTTTTGGGGAGGGTCACCCTTATCATTGAGGGGTATGAAAAATAGATGTTGGCCGATTCTCAGACCTACCCAATATGCACACAAAATTTCATAAAAATCGGTAAAGCCGTTTCGAAAGAGTTTGGTAACAAACACCGTGACACGAGAATTTTATATATAAGATATTATTGTTCTCATAATAGCAATTTGCGAATGGCAGATGAGGTTTTTGCTATTAAAGAACTATTGATCATAATTTACTTTTTCTGATTATCAAATGTTTTATTAAGGGTACATTTTAGTTTTTTTTTCTATGTTTTTAGTAACCTGTCAAACGATTTATGCTATTATTGCTCAGATATAAATAATATAGTTGTTGATAAACTTTTTAAAAAAATAATAATACATCGTTTTATAATTAGGTTCTGGTGCAAAAGACTCCTCACATGATAGCTCATGGGGAAAGAGTGAGGCTATTCAGAAGAGCAGTTGCCGATGAAAAGGTAAGTCATAAGCAAACATTTTCATTGTATATACCTATTTAGAATAATACATGTAACTCGTGGTGTTTCTACATGAATTTGAATAAAAATGATCCTATGTGTTAATATAGGATATAGTCTATTTGAATACCAAACTTTATTGTCAGTTGTTTAAGTGTGAGTAACAAATATTTTTTAACCTGTTAATAGTGATATTTTATTTATTTTATTTTTTATTAAGAACAATCGAAAGTTAGAAAATTTCATAATAAAAAAAAAACATTAAAAACAAAATGTCTATTACAGATTTTTACAAATAAAAACAAGGTTTAACTAATACACATGACATCGCTAACACTTACACAATCAACTTAAAGTAATACCATTATAATTATACAAATATTCTAGGTATAGTTATGCAAAATAAAAAGTTAAAATGAATCATTAAAGAATCTTTAACATTTTATATATTTTACTTTATATATGTTATTAATTCCCATCACTGTGCTGAACTGAGCTTAGTAATGTACTAAGCTCTCAGTTTTCATTTTCATCTATCACTCTTCACTGGTGCTCCGCCAGCGTATCCCGTTAGCGCAGGCGGGGTTACATACCATTTTCACCCATAAAAATAAACATGATAACTTCCAGGGAGAACCGCGGGAAGGCCGACCTGGCTGGGTGTATTGTTAGCAGGGGGATTCTTAGTCTCTATTACTAACAACCCCTTCCCCCCCAATCAGGTAGTGCTGGGGCTGACGGAGCGCGCATGCGGCGGCGGCGGCGCGGGTGGCGCGGGCGGCGCTCGCTCGACGCTGGTGACGGTGCGGCGCGCGCGGCTGGTGGAGGACGGCTACCGGCAGCTGGCCGCGCTGCCGCCGCGCGCGCTCAAGGGCGTCGTGCGCGTGCGCTTCATCAACGAGCAGGGGCTCGACGAGGCCGGCATCGACCAGGACGGCGTCTTCAAGGGTGAGCCCGTCCCGCCTCGATCCCGGCACTTCGCCTCCTCTCCTCCGAATCTCACATAATCTCATCCCACTTCTGTTCTCCACGCCTCACTTCAACTATTTTTGCCCGATTTCACTCACTTCTTCCTTTCTTTCTCTTCTCCTTGATTTACTTCGTCTCTTTTTGCCCGACGTCACATATAGCCTCTCTCCGTTTCTTTTATCGCCTCACTTCACCTCTCGCCTGACTTCATCTTACCTTACTCTACCTCTCCCTATCTCGGCTCACTCCACTTAACTTTCCGCTTCACGCTTTTCTCTCGTTCGACCTCACCTCAATCCTCTTTTCATCTTCTTGCCTCATTTTACCTCCTCTTATCTAACTTTACTTTGTATCTTCACTTATCGCTTTAATTCTCCTCTTTTCGCTCGAACTCTCTTCAAGCCGCGTCTCCACTTCTCGCCTTACTTTATTTTTTTTCTGGTCCGACCGCAATTTGCTTCACTTTTCCTACTCTTCTCTCATTCAAAAGGGTGAAGGGAGTTTGAACGAGAAGAGATAATCTTCTAACTTAAATTCCGTTCAACCTGTTTCTCTTCTTCCCGTCAAACCTCACGTCTCGATTCAATTAATATATAAGTTACGAATGACAATATTATTAGAATGCACAGAAAAATATATATTTCTAATTCATTTTCTAATTAAAATCAAATAATCAAGTTTATATACTTTTAATTTATACGGAAATTATAAATTAAAAGTATATATACTACAGCATGGAGTTCTTGAAAAGGGGGGTAAAGAGGTTTCTTCAAGGTCGGCAACGCACGAGTAATACCTCTGGTACTGCAGGTGTTCATAAGCTACGGTAACCACTTACCATCAGGTGGGCCGTATGCTTGTTTGCCACCTCAGTGGTATAAAAGAAAAATTACTAATATAATCTCAATAATTTTTTTCAGAATTCTTAGAAGAAACGATAAAACGAGTATTCGATCCATCGCTGAATTTGTTCCGCGTGACGAGTGAGGAGCGACTGTATCCATCGCCAACCTCCTGCCTACAGGAAAACCACCTTCAACTCTTCGAGTTCATCGGCCGCATGCTTGGGAAAGCTGTTTATGAGGTGAATTTTATGTTTTATTTTATAAAAAAGATTATGTTTCGTTGTAGATTGAATTTTGGAAAAATAAATATTTCTATAATATGTATGCAGGGCATAGTGGTGGATGTGCCGTTCGCGTCGTTTTTCCTGAGCCAGGTTCTGGGCCAGACGCAGCAAGCGCTCTATAGCTGGATTGACGAGCTGCCCTCACTTGACCGTGACCTCTACCGCAGCCTCACGTACATCAAACACTTTCAGGTATTTATCTCTCCATTTTCAACCTCACATCTGCGGCAGCTAGTAATGGAGATGTTTTGTAATGGGTAATGATGGAAATCCTCCTGCGATATCGGTATACACTGACGGGGCACGAGTGATGATAAGTGAGGATGAAAAGACAGGTCAGTTAGCCCATTGTGATGAATACATTTGGAACTCACCACGATGGTTTCTAGGGGAGACCATGTGGAGGTCGACCTGGTTGAGTATATTGCTGGCAGTGGAGCCCTTAGTCTCCATTACTAACAATCCTCCCCCTCCCTCCCCCCTAATCTACGCTATCGGTATCGGTAGGGGCACCGGTGGTAGAAGATGGATGAGGATGAAGCAAGTCAATCGGTCTATCGTGAAGAATTCGACAAGAATTAACCAGGATAGTTTCCAGGGAGAACCGCGTTAAGGTCCCATTGATATATAATTTATGAAAATTATACATTTCAGGGCGACATTTCGACGTTAGAACTAACATTTTCGGTCGATGAAGAGAGATTGGGCGAGATAGTGACTCATGAATTGGTCCCGGGGGGAAAAGCTCTACCAGTCACTAACGAAAATAAGTAAGTAATATTTACTATTATGCATAATGGTATTTCTATCTTATATTACACTCTCTCTTATAGAAATCCTAATTTTAATAAAATCTTAATCACAGCACTCAGATCATCAACCCTAAAAAAAATTTTTAAAGATAGTTTTCATTTATAATCTCTGAAAAGCTAAAAATAAATAGAATTTAGCAATTAAATGAATAATTAATTCCTAAAATCTAAAATCCTTAATTATTTTTTGGTTTATTTTGAAGAAAACAATTTTAACAATAAGAAAACCATGCCAACCCTTTAACATGAAGATCTTGTACAACAGAATCTACTCAGGAATTTAATTTTTTAAATCCAGTAAAATCATTGCTATATTATTACTGATATTACTTTTCAGAATTAATTACATTCATTTGATGGCACATTTCCGGATGCATACGCAAATCAAGGATCAAACAAATGCGTTTATAAAAGGGTTTCGGACTATTATCAATCCGGAGTGGTTGTCGCTGTTCTCCACGCCCGAGGTGAGACTATTTTTTATAGTTCATAACGTTAAAGGTATGATGAAGCAAAAACGATTTCATAATTTTCAATGTTTCTTTTCATACAATTTTGCGTAATAAATATTTATTAGTGATTCCTTTATAACTTCTATTTATATTTATTTTGTCTTATAATTTTATTTGCATCTTTTTAATGCATAAACACTTATTTATTGAATAATACGTCAAGATACATTTTATGCGTAAATATAAAGAACACTGATAAAAAAAAACGAATTTGACAAAAACTTAACTCGTTTTTGAGGCGTGATGCCCTATCTGTATAATTTAAGGTCATATTATATAACATTGTACGAACGACACATTGCGTGTAGTTGCAACGGCTGATCAGCGGCGACAACGTGCCGCTAGACCTGCGCGACCTGCGCCGCCACACGCAGTACTACGGCGGCTTCCACGACTCGCACCGCGTCGTGTGCTGGCTCTGGGACGTGCTGCAGCGCGACTTCAGCGAGCACGAGCGCGCCATGTTCCTTAAGGTACCCTCTAATACTTTACTACGAGGTAGTACCTTCGGATCCTCAGAGTACACTATACTATTTTTCTTTGAGGTACCTCTTTCATTTTTCATCTTTTCCTCATAATATTACTCACGTGTTATCCTTTTTAGTTCCTCAGAACCCACACAGTACTTTTTACTATTTTACCACACGGTACACCTTTCATTTTTCAGAATACATTTTACTATTTTTCCTTGAAGTACCCTCATCTATTCCTTTACTTTACATCTACTTTATTTTTCTATGAGGGTCTCTATTTCTCTGGGTACTTCCTACTACTATTCTGGTTATTATTTTTTCTTATTTTTAAAAAGTTAAAGTTTTTTTTATTTTTCATAGTACTTCATTTCTTATATACTACTGTTTCTCAAGGTAGCCACTACAGTTTCTCAATGATCCCTCTGTTACTCAGGTTCCAGGACACCCTACTTACTATCCCATATGCATCAAGCAATAAGAATTATTTTATTTCTTTCAGTTTGTAACATCATGTTCGAAACCACCAGTTCTCGGGTTCGCTCATCTAAAACCTCCGTTCTCAATACGCTGTGTCGAAGTTGGTGATGACGAAGACACGGGCGATACTATAGGTAAATATATTTACGTAATTTTATAATCTATCTCAACAGGTCCATTAAAAAAAAAAGTTTAAATTAAGACCTCTTCAAGCTCTCTTAAAAAATAATTCGAATTTTTAGGTAGTGTAATCAGAGGGTTTTTCACAATAAGGAAGAAGGATCCGCTGAATCGTCTCCCAACATCGTCAACATGTTTCAACCTCCTCAAACTGCCGAACTATCAGAAACGCAGCACTCTACGCGATAAGCTCCGGTATGCGGTTAACAGCAACACAGGATTCGAGCTCTCGTAGTCTCCCACTTCGATATTCAATTTGGTTAGTAGAAATTTTGAATGTAAAGTACAGGGATTTGAGATTTTTTGCGACATACAGGATGTAATCAGACTGTACGCGTACTTTGTATTGCGTATATGATAGATCGCCTGTAATGTTTCGGCAATTCATCGGATTTTAAACTCTATAGTACGGCTAATAGGTACTACATTGAATTTTGTTTATGCAAACCATTTTTTTTTTACTCCTGCATTATCTATAATGACATTTTGAGGTTTGAGTCGATATACGTGATTGATTTATATATCCACATAGAATTTATTAGTTTTGCTATATAAAAGGTCGTCATATTTTAGAATAAATTTAACACGTATGCTGCAGTAGTAGGATATTCGTTAAAAGCCTTATTTTTTAATTTCCTTTTTTATTTAGATGTAGTAGTGATGATTATACGTTGTCTATGGTAAACACAGCTCTATTAAAAGATTTGAAAGATAATTTATGGTAACGTCTGACTCTGACGTAGACGTCTCGTAGACGTTTGACGTCTGTACGATGTGATTTCAATTCGATTGCGTCAAAAGGGAAGTGAACTAGGTACCATGAATTAAAATGAAACGTAACCCCCGATGCATACGCGTCAGACCGTTCGTAACTCGATTATAATGCCAGCCTCCCTAGACAAAAGACTAACGAATCTATCACTAGAAATGTTCTCGTCACTGCACGCACGAGAAAGGACAAGACTACAAACTGCTGTCTCTTTCTATCTCATGCGTACGCATTTGTGTATTTAAAAATATTTTCCAGGGAGCATATACCTCTCATAAACGATGAATATGAACTTTTATAAATGTTTGCGCAGAGTTGAAAGCTCCATCTTAGAGTGGGCACGACCCACCCTGAACCCTCTTAAATACGCTTAAGTGCCAGCGGTAGCGAAAACTTACCTATCGATCGATTCTTCTTAGCACTGTCTTTTCAGTATCGTTCACGTAATGTATTGGAACGTAACAAGCGAAGTTGTGTTTTTCAATATATATATATATATATAGGGTACATTGCTAGCAATAGGACTGATAGTCTGTATTACTGACGTCCCCCCCACCCCTTCGAATGGGTTGCAATCTAGTTTGTGCGTCTGAAGAGGCTACACACACGACATACCTCGAGGCACATTTACCGGATCCCCAGGTTCCCATTTGTAGACGACTGGAGGTCTGATGCGATGGCCTGCCCTGTAAGTGTTGTAGGGCAGGTCTCATAGGTTAGGGCGGGGCTTGCACTCCCCGCTCTACCGTCACAGGAGGCGAGCGGGCATTTGCGCACACCTCCTGGAGAACTATGAATAATATATATGAAAAATGAATATCGTTCGTGGTGAAACTTGTACATACGATTTAGTTTGTAGATTAATATGGAACGTAAATGTGGGGACCTACTGTAAACTCGATAGTATATTAAACATGTCTTGAGGAAATATTTTAAACAAATGTTAAATAATAACATGGATTACGTCACTAAAAATTGTATTTTATTTTTTTGTAGTAAAAACACATAATAAATATTTACTTTCACTGAGAACCGATTTACGCTCCATCACTTGCCAAATAGAAGTTTTATATATACGTATTTTTTTTTTGTTTAGAAAATGTAAAATCAGAAGACTGTTTGTCAAAAGAATCTATTAACTTTTCTAACTAATCGTTTTAAAGTTCCTTATTTTTTCCTTTTATTTTTCATTAACAAATAACCAGTTTTTAAGTATGTACGAAATGTATCCGAACTGAAATATATATTATTAAATTTTTTTTTAGTGTAAATATTAGTCATGAATCATGATTCGTAAATGTTAAGAATTGTACTCAATATGTCAGCTATGTTATATTTATACATATTATACTAGTGTGAGTGATTTAGTGTTCAAATAAGTACTTGAATTATATTATAAAACTATCACATTAATTATACTATTAATTTAAAACAAGTATTTGGATGTACATGTCTATTCCACATTGTTCTATGTTTAGTGTTATACTATGAAAATTCACGTTTTCAAGTTTTAATGCAATAGTCGAAATAGGTCGGCCAGTAACTTAGATTTTTTTTTATAATATATAAAAAAAATAACCTTTCAGAGATTATTATATAATATATACCTACGTGGTTTATGTTTTTGTTCTTTTAAATATTTATTATAGTAATTGTAATATATGGTCTAAAATACCTACTTCTAAAATATATATATTTTTTATTGTTAAAGTTTTTAAGTGCATATTATATTGTTTTATATGTAAAAATAATGGAATTGACTTGACTAGTTTGTTGAATACTATGGATAGTCATGGTATGATTATGGATTGTCGAAGTTAATCGACTATTTTCGAAAAAAATGCTCGTAAGTCAATCCGGTTATTGTTACAATTAAACCTTGGAATTTTTTTTTTTTTTTTTGTTAATATCGAAACTACTCGCGCACTACTTTCCTATCTATCTATCCATTTAAGAGCTGCGCTCTTGTCGGTGGAGCTCTTGCCTTCTCTACTTTCCTATAGTCTAACATAATATAATAGAATTAAGATTCTGTCATAATTGTCGAGCTACTTTACAAAGTCTCCCTCTGGTAAATTTATTATTGTCAGTCATTCTTTAATATTCCATTATATGTGATCAATAAATCGCCATATAGCATACAAATCATCCGGTGCAATGCGTTTTCAAAATTGTACTACATATTGTAGATATTCGTATAGTGCGCGAGGTCCATTAATTTATTTATAAAATTAATCCGTCATCTTTAGTGATAACTGGACGTTTGTAAAATTAGAGATCTCTCTGTAAATATGTAATTAGTACGTAGGTGCGTTGCATTATTTATTTGGTGTATAAAACGAAATTTTGCACGATTCGATTCAGTCCAACTTAAAAATAGGTGTATAATAGACAATAATTAATATTCATTTATTTATTTACCCGTTTATGTACAGTGTGGACCTTTCCCCCCGTTATTTTCTGATGATAGTGTTTCATGGAAATTGTGACTAGATTAAAAATTGTAGTTTTGTAACTTTATTGCTTCTGTACTTTATACGACTCAAGGGTAAAGTACTGAAAGAGATTTAGATGAAAGTAATTTGAATTTCTTAAATCGAATGTTAATGCTTAAATTAATTTTTATATGGAGAATTTTATTTCATGGCGTAGCTGCTAATGGGATGAAACTTTTTCTTTTATGCAACTTAGAATGGCAAACAAACTGACGGCTTACTTGATGGAAAGTGGTGACCGTCGTCTATAAGTATGAGCAGTACAGAAACTACTAATATTAATAATGTGAATGGTATTGCTATTAAAGTATATAGATCATGGTCGTAGCTAGGGAAGGGGGGGGGGCATTGAGGGGCAATGCCCTACCTTAAAAGAAAATTAGACAGATTCGTTTTTTCGATGTCTTATAATTATGGATTCAACCCAACCAAAAAATTCTTTTACCCTACCTTAAACATGAGTCTAGCTACGGCCCTGACACAGATATATATGTTTAGTATCACCGCTTTCAGACTTCCTACAGTAGTAAGGGTTTTTTTTTTATAAAAACTATGTATTATATAAGGTATGTTTGTAACCATGCTCATTAAATATGCATATGAAAAACACATTGTTATATAAATATAAGGTGTAACGGAATGATTATAAGAAATTAAAACATAATGGTAGTAATTATGAAAATGAGCAACTTTTCGCAAGGAACATGGGTAATATGAAAATAAAGTTTGCATTTCTTAAACTTAATCGGCGTATCTCCACACCGACGCAGTCTCCCGTAGAAGCCATTGTAGTGATTTCATCACGATGGGTCTGTCCTGATTATATCCTAGCCTGACAGGCTAGAATAAAATAGCCTCACCAGTAATAAAGCATTACTACAAGTGAAGTTGGCAGGCAGAGAGCAGTTATCAAGAATCCAGAGTTCAAGTCTGGTTAATTTGAAAATAGATGGCGCTTTATGCAAATTTATATCTTATCATAATCATCATCATATCAGCCGTTAACCGTCCAGTGATGATCAAAAGCCTCTTTCCATAAGCTTAGCAGGCACATTGGCAACCGTAGTTAAGGTTGGGTGATGTATTAGGAGAGACGCTGCTGCCCATATCTCGAATATTACGTTCCCCTATACAGTTGTTTCTTACGACACCCACGGGAAAATAAGAGATTATTTCTAGAGAGTTATGTTTAGGACTATTTATTTAAAGGCGACAATCCTGAAATAAATGTATATGTAAAAAACCGCATCGCAAGTGATAGGTACGCCAAAATTTGTAGTTTTAAGTTTCCTGTAATTAAGTGTCGAGGTAGATCAGTCGGGTTACCATTGAAATAAATTTCAATTGATCGATATTGTAATTGAGACGTTTCGCACTCTCGAATTGCAACACTAGCGACATAATGGTTTCATACTATTCGGATAGATGCATATTAATGTAACTTACTAATATAAACTATTGTGAACGGACCCAACATTTAATCTAATTTCTAATTGTGATTTCATGAGTGCAGTACAAAATTGTCATTGGCAATAGATTGGATTAACGCCATTTTCACAAAAAAAACTGGTGTCCAGTATCTATGTTGCTGGTATTGTAACACCTTTTTTTTGGTTCCGCCTATTCACAACTTTTATCAGTTTCAAATAAAAGGTTAACAGGAAGAAATGCATTTTATGGGGTAAGTCCGCTATTGTAATAATTATTTTTCTAAGAACTCTGTATCCTATAACTTAAGATTTTACTGCACCATAAAATGTTATAAACAAACAAACTGGTATGTTTCAACGAATGACCGGGATGAGAAGAAACAGTTGAGGGGAGTCTGCCCTGTCTTTTGAATTTAGTAAAGAATATATAGTATACCATTTGAAAAGATGCCGAGTTTCATAAATACTACCGTTAGTATAAAACAGTTTCCTTCGTAATAACGAATAAGTTACACCAAACCTATATTAATGTAAAACTTTTGTGCAAATTTGTTCTGGATTGAATTGTTTATTTCATCTTGCAAATATTTGTTTAGGTACTAAGTAAATTTATAATTTGTTATGATTTTGTGCAATTTCATAGTGGATTATCCCGGTGTAGCTAAACACCTTTTGAAATTTATATAAACAAACATGGTATTTTGTAGTAGTGTTTCGTTTTTATTGAATATCTTAATTATTAAGTATTTACTAATAATGTATACACATAAATATGAATCATTGTAATTTTGTACTAGCCACGTAAAATGTTGTATAACACAATGTGATTCTCTGTGATAAATAATTGATATTTATTATTAGTGTGTTTTATTTATATAATTATGCACATGACTTCATGAAGCACTTTTATATTAACATACTTTTAAATTAATATTCTATCAAGTTTTTTTTTTCCTAAAATTGGCTTACTGATCTATATTTGTAAAACACTGTCCTGGTATTCCCTTATGGACTCCCGCGATACAGGTTCGCCTAGTGCAGGGATCAATGTACTCATGTTGTAATTTTTTTTGTGTTTAATTAATAAATAGTAGAAAAAAAAACTAATTTGTAGCTTAACGCACGATCAAGGAACAACGATAAACAAAATCATGTCTTCTTCGCCGCTTAGTGTTCAGCTTTCAGCATACGACATGTGCCCCTCTAGACGAGTGGTAAACGAATCTACCGGTAGAATTGTTTTGGTTAGTCTTTCAAGTGAGAATTCTATCTTATGGACTGGATAGCGATAACGATTTCATGTATAGATAATTTTTTTTTTACTACTATGGTGGCAAACAAGCTTACGATCCATCTGATGGTAAAGGGGGTCACCGTAGCCTATGAACACTAGGAGAACTGCCTTCTTAATCAAGTGTCAAAAATATATCTATAGGTATGTTTTAATTTTTTTAATGGATGATAATGGAATGGTAACCCCCTCTCCCCCCTGCGTTATCGGTATATGCTGGTGGCGGCAATAAGTGGTAATATAAACGAGGGTGGAAGCATGTCATTTGGTCCATCGTGACGAATTTAAAAGATGTGTTTTATTTAGAAATCAGCACAGTGCTCTCTTTCTCTCTCTTGCACCATGTGGTAGTAGTAACTATCTATAAATTAATTTGCTATTTGTTAAAGGGGATTGTTGAAATAAAATCGTATGTATCGAACTCTATACGTTTTCTAAACTTTAGTGAAACTAAAGAGGTAAGTAAAAACAGAATGCGTAATAAACCATTTCTATGTAGATATGTATTTCTCGTAAATGTGTGAAGGAACTCCTTATCGACTATTTTTGGAATTTATATTTTCCGTTGTTAGTGGTGGGTAATAAATATTTAATTAAAATATCTATGTAATGGTCCAATAACGATTATGTTATGTCTGTTATTCAAAAGATAATATTGTATAACAGACTTTTAACATATTCTAAAATAGATATCTGACCGATATGGGCAATATTGTAATGAGTGATGGATGGCCTTTTTCCGCCATCAATGTCCAGAGGAACGGTATCGATGTTACCCATGCCCATTCAATCATAAAAAATCTGTTTTAATATTATAAAATATGAGATCCTATGTATAAAGTAAAGGGTTTCTAATAGGGAACTTCCCTAAATATTTCCGGCAATTATGGAAGATAACGGATAACTGTGACAGTTACTTGTTTAGACAATTTTTCAAACTAAACTTCGAAATGTTTATGTCATGGAGCGACTTTAGATACCATGGGACTTTGAATAGCAAATAATATGTATGAAAATAGGAATAGTTTCCTCATAAAAATTAATACCACCATAGAATATGCTATGACACTCATAACACCCTAACTATTAATGTATTATGCCTCCGCACCAGTAATACAGGGGGTGGGTGAGGTGGTGTCCAGAAATCCGCCATGTACACATATATGTACTACTGAATAAATAAATAAATACAAGAGTGTTCCGTATTTTAACTCTATGTTGATAGTTTTGACTAAATAAGGGTCTGTAACACCAAGATAAACTCTTTTTTTACGAAGATTCATACGCCATTGTAACGGTATACAATAGCAGAGCACAAGTGTAGAATGAAGTCAGGCCAGTTGGTTAATTGAGGCAAATTTATTAGGACTTAATCATGATGATTTTCAGGGGGAACTGCGAGGAGATCGAGTTTATAAGGTAAAGTTAGTAACAGGGTCTAAGCTCTCCATTACTGACACCTACCCCTAACTATTGAGTGAGAAGGAATTGTTAGCAACGCGGATTAGTAGCCCTATTTTGAGGCATACACCCTGTCAGGTCGACATCCTCGCGGTTCCCTTTGGAAACCATCGTGCTCAATTCCAAATGAATTCATCACAATAGGCTAACGAACCTGCTTTTTCTTTTTCAGCTATTATCTCTCACTGGTGCTCCGCCAGCGTATACTGTTAGGCAAGGGCGAGGGTACCGTTCCATTATCATACATTAAAAAAAAAACTGTCGGGTCGACATCGCCGATGATCTTTTTTTCGTTTTTATTTGTCGGATGGCGCCTTTAAATATTTGTTCAGAAGCGTCAAGCAGACAAAGCCCATCGCTGTAACATCCTCATATCCAATCGAAATATAGTCTTGCTAGTAAAACTGTTTTACTTCTTACTCATATAGACGATTTAGTACATAGGGAAGGGATATAATAATGGAAACGCCAATCCTTATTGATAACAATATACCCTCCAACCATTATGGATTTATGCCATGGTGAGTACAGACGGGATAATCACACAACTCCATTTCAAATTTAGCTGAATGAGAGAAAGGGTTTGCCAGTAATGAGGTTTAATAGCCTCATTGGTGGCAATATATCAGGTCAAGCTCTACGAGATGGGGGGGGGGGGGGGGGGTGAAGGGACTGTTAGTAATGCGAGCTATCAGTTCCATTGCTAGAAATATACCTTGTCAGGTCGACCTCCACGCGGTTCCCCTTGGAAACCATCGTGGCTAATTCTAATTGAATTCGTCAGAATGGACTAACTGGCCTGTTTTCATTCTCATCGATCACCCTTCACTGGTGCTCCGCCAGCGTATCCCATTAGCGTAGGCGGGGTTACCATTCCATTTTCACCCATCAAAAAAAAACCTTTACGAGGTGTTCCTTGGAAACCATCTGGGTTAATTCTTGATAAATTCATCAAGGTGGCCCAACTGGCCTGCATTCATCCTCATGTATCATCTCTCATTGTTGCTCTGTCAGTGTATACAAAAACGCAGGCGTTTCCATTTTATTTATATCAGCTGTTAATTGTCCGTTGCTGAACATAAGGTTCTCTCATATTAGAGGGGTTTTGCTAGTAATTACTACGCTTAGCTGATGGTTTGGCAACCGTATTTAGGCTTTGGTGATGTTTTAAGAGGGACACTGTTGCTCATTCTCAACTATTAAGGTTTCTTGCCTCTTACGACACCCATGTGAAGGAAAAAGGTATCCCATGTTATGCCGGGATCACCCAGAAAACTGCAGCATTCCATTTACATCCATTAAAAAAAAAAAAAAGAAATGTAAATATAAGTAAGTACGTTAACTAGATAAATTGAATATTTTCGATTTGGCTAGTCTCATATTAATTCATGAAAAAATTGCCATTCAAAATTGATCAATTGATCTCACGGAAATCGATAGATTAATCTCTTGAGCTTTGAAACTCGAAATTTGCCTACACATGTATTATACTATATTAAAAAAAAAAAACGAACAGGAATACTACCTGTGATAAATAACAATTAAAACAATACATATAACTAATATAAGAATTACAATTTAAAAACGCAATCTATATACACACAATAGCACATTTTAGAATAGACAGATCAAATTTGATTAGATCATTTTGTATCGATCCTTAGATCGATCAAATATTATGGTTTAAGGATTTGATTTTGAATTGGGTACTTATGTATATCATTAATCTGTTAAAAAAATAAGCATTATTGAAACAAAGATATTTCTAATAACAGAGCTCATTTGAATTTACTTTCAATGAAGAAAATAATAACATAAAAATTCAAGTCCTGTATTTTCAAATCGACCAACCAAAGCCAAGCGTAAGCAGCTGTTTACCGCGTCGTCGCCATTGTTATTTTCTATCTCGCTCTGCCGCCGCGTTTCACCTCACCTCCCACCCTCCCTCCTGTTCCCAGTTTCGCTCGATTGTTGTGGTGTGTGGACGGTTTCGTGCAGCGCGGAGAGAATTTTGCGGTATAATTCTTTGTCCAGGATAAAGCTGAAGACGAGGACAAACAGTTCACCGTTTACAATTTAGGCTGAAAACCTTGCATTCAATGCAAAATAACTCGTGAAATTTATACGTGCAGCTCGTTCCGTGTAGTGTACGTTCAGTGATTCCCGCATAGTCGATTGAGCATGAATAATAAAGAAGTAACCGGTGATATTGTCGTGTGTCCACTGGAAGGAGAGGTCTGGTGATCGAGCATAGTGTCCAGGTCGTGGGATTCTACGTGTGATGAATCTACGGTGACGGCTTGCCGCGGAGCGGTTGGATGGCGGCTGTAAGCGGCCCCGCGCGGCACTCTCGCGTCTCCATGAGTGTGTCCATGTCGCTGATGCAGGGCGGTACGCAGAGTGCGCCGCAGGGCGCCATCCTGGCGGCGGCGGCGCCCTATTACCAAACGCCGGCCATCCCAACGGACGTACAGCCCGACCGCCCCATTGGCTACGGAGCCTTCGGTGTCGTATGGTGAGTTCTATTTATTTTCTTGGTTATGTTTACACTGATTATAATTACTAATCATTAAATATACTGGATAATACCAATTGGACGGTTAGTGGATATCCTGGAGAGTAGATCTCTTTAGAGCCTGAGCAAAGCTCTTACAAAACTTTAGTCAAAAATTTATTGTTATAGGTATATACCTACTTCTTGGATAGATTGATTTTTTGGATTCTTCTTCTCTAATACTCACTTTATAAATATCTATTTGAATTTTCCATTTCTGTCATATAAAACTAGGTCTTATTTACAGAACTACTAGGTGTAGATAACTAGTCAATTTAACAACTGTGCAAAGTATTCATATACTTTGTGTACTTTTTAAAATAGTTATGCCCTTAGAAACCATACCTATTCATGGGATTATTTGTTTCTGTGTTATTTGTATATATATATATGGATTTATTAATAGGATATTTATTTTGTTTAAGTATTGTAATAAATTATTGAAATAATAGATTTACAAATGACAAATCACATTGGAGTATTTGAATGGATGGTTAGGTATATACAATTTTCTGTATATCCTATTAAAGTATTTAGATTTCCTTGTAATCCATACCTAGTTTCCACTTTATTTTTTTTTTTTGGCATGGAATCAATTTTATCATGACCATACTCAACATTGTTCAATACAGTAATTAGCTTCTTTTCCAATATCTATCAACTGCTATTGTTACTGAATACATATTTTGTGATGTAGGTATCTTCTTCCTGGAGTATACTTACCTTTGAATCCATAGATTTTTTTATACTTCAAACTTTTTTCAAAATCTTATTCAATTATTGTACCTAAATTTTGTATGATATTGTTTTGCCAAACCATGTATGTTTATAACATATTATTACTAACATCTGTATACTGTGTTTTGAGCAAATAAATTATTACTATTATTAAAAAAAAAAAAAAAAAAAACTGCCTCATTTCAAGGATCAGTATGTTTTATCTGCTATAATTATTGCTTTTAAATTGTTCAACTATATACACTATAGTACCATTATTTGATTTGTGGATATCAAAATGTCATATAACAAAATAGTTAAACTTGTTATAGACAGGTGTTCAATATATATTTAGAGGTCTTGTCATAATAACATATTCAATATTTGTTTATGTCTAAACAAAAAAAGTCAGTCTTATTAACAATAAAAGGTATTTTAAATAATAAATTTTAGGATAATAATCTTGATTTTGGCACCTCAAGATAAGATGTTACATTTTGCAGTGATATCCATTATGTAGGTATTATTTTTTAGTAATCATACTATCACCTATGTTTACTGTCTTACTAACATTATGTGAAAGTTATAAAGATTTTTAAATATTTGGATGTTTTTAAATGGTTCACACTAAAATCGCACTTAAGCGGTTGAATAAATAAAATATATATAAATGAAATTAGGAAAAATAATAGGTCACATTATCCTTAGGCTAGATTATAATGTTTATTATGGGTCATTCTCAGTCTGATATTATCAAGCATTATCAAGTTGGAATATTTTGAGATTAATCAACACCAGAATGGAACTGGGGGAATGGATCGTTAGTAATGCGGGCTACCAGTCTCATTGCTAGCAATATACCCTGTCAGGACGATCTCCATGTGGTTCTCCCTGGAAACCATCGTGCTGAGTTGCAGATGTATTCATCACGATGGGCTGACTGACTTTTTTTTTTCATTATTCACCTATCATTCCTCACTGGTGCTCCGCCAGCATATACCGTTAGCGCAGGCGGGGTTACCGTTCCATTAATCATGCATTAAAAAATACACCAAAATGGAACTGCCTTCCTAGAAATATAACAAATGTGTCTATCAATGGATTCATTTTTACAAGCGAGTCATTACAGCTGTTTATGTAATCCTGGAATCTAAAGCTGTGGTTCCTTAACATTTAGAAACCTTGAGAACAGTGAGGTCGGTCTATGAAGTCTGTGAAGTACCATGAACTTTCTGTGTTTCTGGGCGGAGCTGGGTTGGCTGTACTAGCCATGACTCGTATGTGGAATGGCTTAAACAAGAGGTTTAGGAAAATAGAGTAATTTGCATTACATTACAAGCGAGTTCATAAGTTGGAATGAATTGATTTATTTGCCACTTGTCTAAAGGGCCTGTACTGTTATGGATACTACTTATACACATTGTTTCTTATGTGATGGTATTTTACCTGATTTGAATGAATCAGAACTAGTATTATAATGTGAATCTAGCTTAAATCACCATGGTAACCAAGAATATGGCCTAAATCAGTATTATTATGGCAGCCATTGACTGTCTGCAGCTGAACATAGGCCTCTCAGTAAGAGGTCATTTGGCAGTAGTTGGATGTTGCTGCCCATGCCTCAATATTTAAGTTCCTTTAGTCACCTATTACAATAGTCATGGGAAAGAAAGGTGTAAATAGTATTATATTCAGCTACTAATACAACAATTACCATTGTTTATGTAAATAGGTGAAGGTTGCCACCTTTTAGATAGAATGCGTTGAAGATTTCCATAAAGTCCTTTATGGTTATAATTTAGTCATTAAGACCACCAAATTTGGAGTATATGTGCTCAGCTATCATAACTACCAACCTAACAATAGCACATCCATTGCAACCTTGGTGTTTGTAATCTCAGCAATTCTGAGAGAATTCTTTCAATTAACTGTAATAATATATGTTACAGTTAAAATTTACTGCTTGGAGTGATTATGTGTGATGTTCAACAAGTTTAAGTTAGCTTAGACTACTCAACTAGTTGTTGAAACTAACTAGTGTTTGCATATACTGTTCAAAGTTAAATTTATTAAGTTCATTTAATAATATTTATTATTAGCTTTTTGGTATTATTACTTGGTACTCCTGGATTTTAAAAGTAGGACAACTAATGACATAGTCATCTCTAGATGGTGTGGCGAACGCAACTATGAAAACTGCATCCAATTTATTGCAGTAGTTTTTACAAGATGCTAGAATAAACAGATGATCAGACGAAATTTCTAAAAAATATTGTTTAGGTTTCTGTTTGCTCTTATTAAGAACCTTACAAGTACATATATGGTTAAGTTATTCTTAACTCCTTATGTAGATAAAGTGAGAATACAAGTGTTACTGTAATATTCCTCGGGAATTCAATGTTGTAAGTAGTAATTAAGGATACAAAGTATTTTACACTTGTGTAAATGAAAGAAAATTCGAAATAAAACCTTGTAGTTACCAGCCAGGGTGTTAACAGTAGGTTATTATCTTCTTCCTATGTGATGAGATCTATGCCCAGCAGACTGGGACGATAATAGTTTTTTTAATGGGTGAAAATGGAATAGTAACCCCGCCCGCGCTATCGGTATACATCGACGAGGCACCAGTGGTAGATGATAAGTGTGAATGAATGCAGGTCAGTTGACCCACCATGATGAATTTAACAAGAATTAACCATGATGGTTTCCAGGGGGAACCACGTGGAGGTCAACCTGATGGGAAATATTGCTAGCAATGGGGCTGTTAGACCTCGTTACTAACAATCTTTTTCTCCCGATGATATAATTGGTTATAATCACTGTAACATATTTCCGCATACTATAAGGAAATCTACTATTTCTTACAGAAATATCTACCGTTTCTTGCTTCTCGTCTCTGTTGGTTCATAAAAGAGGCAAAGATTGAACTAAAATAGACCATTCAGACAATAATTCAGGGTTGATAATTTTGTACATACATATATGATAAATACAATGTAGCACATAATAAGATAAAAAACGGAAGACGCTGAGAGAGATAAACAGAGCCATAATTTATGTTAGTAAGAAGTAAGTATTGATAAGGGAAGGGAGCCTCTAGATGAGATTTGTTTACAGAACTGTAATTTTATTGTTCATGCTGACAGACTACCAGTGAGGGATAGTAGTTGCGCAAGAAGTCAGGACAGTTTTTTTTAGTTTAAAATGGAGTCATAATTCCATTATGCTGGTGGATCACCAGTGAGGCGAGGTTTAAAGGCAAGATTTAATTACAATCGTTTCCAAGGGGGACAGTATCGAGACCAACCTAACATGGAAATTATTAGAAATGGGATTGTTGGTCCTCATCTTCTCCTCTCGTTACTAACAGTCCCCTTATCCATCACATTTAGGGTATTTTTGGATCTCTGTGATCTTGAAACAAAGTGCATATCGCTATTGGGATAAAACACTCCCGAATGGATTAATCGTGTTGTCGGAGATTATACGAAAAGTAAACGCATTATATATCACAATTATTTAATATATTGTATTTATTTATGTCGGCTTTACTCACGTTTTTGCGCCCTACTAGTTTCATACTTAATAGGAACTCTTATTCATAAATGCGTTTTACGACTGTGTCGCGAACAGCACTGCACGACCAGCGCGCTGTTTGTTGCTGCGCTCGTGCTGATGGCGGAGGTGTTAGGGCTGGTAGGGCACAATTATCACTATGCAGTTGTGTTCTCGCGTCCCGGGTGACGAGTTTATTACTAGGTATTCCTAAAAACCTGTTTGGCTCAAAATAACACGTAAGAATCATTTAACCTGTCGATGAAATTATACTAGTTTATCCTCTGTGCGAGAAATCTATTATACGCAGCGTTTACACAAAACGAACCCTATTATTATGATTTGTGTAGATTTTTTTTGTATAGAATATTGTAAAGCTTTATAATAATATCAAACAGTTTCATACCTAGCTATAGTGATATATTTCTAATAGAACAATAAATATATACCATTATGAAACTTAATCGAGAAAAAATAGTATTTATTTAGTTATTATTAATTAGCTGACCCAATAGATGTCCCGTCCAAATTCCAATTTATTTTCTTACTAGCTTCTACCCGCCACTTCGTCCGCGATATGTTCACTGACCGGGATAAAAAGTAACCTCTGCCCTTCTCCATCCCAAATTACGTGTCCAAATTTCATAATCATTTGTTAAGCTGTTAAGCGAAGAGCTAGCAAATTTTAT